CTGAGTGGTGGGGGTGGGGGGATAAAGAGCACAGATATCCATGCAGACAAAAACACTTAAACACATAAACTAGAAATATATAAGTAAGTAAATACAATAGAGCCAGGCGTGGGGGTGCACAGCTTTTGTTTGGTTTGTTTTTGTTTTTTGTTTTTTTTTTGAGAATGAGTTTCTCTGTGTAACAGCCCTAGCTGTCCTGGAACTAGCTCTTGTCGAGTTGAGCCTGACCTCAAACTCACAGAGATTTGCCTGCCTCTGCCTCCCAAATTCTGGGATTAAAGGAGTGTTCCATCACGGCCCGGCACACGGACCACACCTTTAATCCCAGCATTTGGGACACTAACCAAGTGGATCTCTGTGATCTTGAAGTCAACCTGGTCTACACAGCAAGTTCCAGGCTAGTCAGGGCTACATAGAGATACTCTGTCTCAAACAAACAATTCGCAGACAAGTGTTGCCATGGGGGCAGCTCAGGTGCTTGGGTACACTAAGGAGACAATTCCACCAGGGCAGGGATCAGAGGGACACCATGTGACCTTTACAACACCTTCCTATAAACTGTGTTTCCTAAGCATCTACAATGTGAGACATCAATGTCAGGCCAGGTGCTGGCAGCAGGTGTCCTCCCCCACCACACCTCCCTGAGCCTGGACAGCTAATGGCCAGCAGCCCCTGGACACCAGGCATGCTCCAAAAACTTGGTGCTGATGTCAGCTGTGCCCTGACTGCTGACCCCAATGGACATGCTTGGACGGTAGGGAGTGTTGACACTGGTACAGAGCCACCTCAGCCGGCCTCGGGTTGGCTGAGCCCTGGCTCTGCAGCTCCATGTTCTCCTTGCATTAGGACATACAGATTATTTGCTTTAGGCATGACCTGACCCACAGGGGTGCCAGCTCTGCCCGATGCCTTTCATGCATCCCATGCCATTCACTCTGCTGGATTCTGTCCAGCTCTGCTTCTTCTTAAAGCCGCTGCCCGGGCCTCCCTCTGAACTCACATGGGACTAGCTATGCATTGGCACGGGTGTGCGCTTGTGCCCTGGTGTGCATGGAAGCTGACTGTGAAGGGGTCTGGCAATCAGCAAGATGGCCTGGAGCAGCTGCCCACCTAACATGTCCATTGTGTAACATGCCAGAAACTGCACGTGGGCAACCAGTACAACAGCGGCCCAGTGGACTAACGAGATTTACAGCACTAAAGAGTCCCTCTGGCACTACCCCTTGCTGTGGGACATGGTCACCAGTCTGAAAACATTGCACTCACCTATATGAGCCAACCCTAAGTCTGCTCCCTGGCAACACAGACTTCGGACAAGAGCCCCCTCCCATCCTCTGTGGGGTTTTATTAATCTATTTATTTAATTGGCTATTCTGAGACAGTCTCATTCAGCCTGTAGCCCAGGCCCGTCTGGAACTCACTGGATCCCTCAGCTTCCCAAACATGACTATGGGCATGAGTTTCCATGCCCAGCTTATAAGGCTGGCTTTGAAAAAATAAAGCCTCTTCAAAAACTAAAACAAACAAAATAAAACCCTGCCTTTTGCTGAGTGGTGGTGATGTCTGTGTTTATCTCTGCAGGCCACAAGAGGGCAACAGACCTCATTACAGATGGTTGTGAGCCACCATGTGGTTGCTGGGAATTGAACTCAGGACCTTTGGAAGGGCAGGCAATGCTCTTAACCTCTGAGCCATCCCTCCAGCCCTGAGTGGTGGTGATGGTGCACGCCTTAATTCCAGCACTCAGGAGGGAGAAGCAGGCAGATCTCTGTGAGTTTGAGGCCAACCTGGCCTGCAGAGCAAGTTCCAGGACAGGCTCCAAAGAGTAAATGACCCAGCTCCACCATTTAGTTAACTATGGAACATGGGTCCCCAGGGCACAGCCTATGGGCTCAGTTTACCCATCTGGAGCATGGTAAAGAATCAGCACAGCAAGGACAAAGACCCAGACTTGATCCCCAGCACCACAGATAGTCTAACCCATGACATGTCATGCTCCTTGTATGCATGCAGTAACCTGCAGTTAGCTAGCAAGAAACCAATTACCTAGGGGGCTGGAGAGATGGCTCAGCGGTTAAGAGCATTGCCTGTTCTTTCAAAGGTCCTGAGTTCAATTCCCAGCAACCACGTGGTGGCTCACAACCATTTGTAATGAGGTCTGGTGCCCTCTTCTGGCCTGCAGGCATACACACAGATAGAACATTGTATACATACCAAATAAATAAATATTTAAAAAAAAAAGAAAGAAAGAAACCAATTACCTCTGAAACCTACAAACTTTCCTCAGAAACCCATTCCACAGGACTAGGGAGACAGCTCAGTGGTTAAGAGCCACACTGCTTTTGCAGTGGATCTAAATTTGATCCCAGCACCCACACCAAGTGGCTCACAACTGCCTGTAACTACAGCTTCCAGGGAGATCTGATGCCTCCACAAGCATCTATACTCATGTACACACACACACACACACACACACACACAGTGAGACAATCACAAACTATTAAAACTAAAAATAAATCTTTAAAAAATCTATTTCATAACACAAGATCTCCCCCACCATATATATGTATGTGTGTGTATATATATATCCTCCTGAACACAGCGTATCTCTGTGTAGCCTTGGCTGTCCTGAAACTCGCTCTGTAGACCAGGCTGGCCTCAAACTCACAGAGATTTGCCTGCCTCTGCCTCCTGAGTGCTGGGATTAAAGGCGTGCGCCACCACTGCCTGGCTCAGCCCCCCCCCTTTAAACAGTAAAAAAGAGCTCCCATAATATAGACATTCCCAAGGGAAATGCTGGCCTAAGAACTAAACAACACAAGAATGGAGACTCAGGATCTTTGACTCTGGACTGGGCTGAGGAGAAAGCAGTGACTTCTGCAGCTCTGACTAAAGGTTCCCAGCCCACAGCGATCTGTAGCAAACTCAGGTGTGACAAACAGCAGGCAGTTTGTTTCGTGTTGTTTCTTGTTCCCTTTGTAAGGATGCAGATCCAAAACTGAAATCGTACTCCCTGGGCAGTTCTACATAACAGGGAGGTAGGGGCCTGCCAATTTTGTAGGTAGAGAAGCTGAGGATTGGATCAGGTAAAGAACTTACCCAAAGTCAGAGTCCCAGCAAAGGACAGGAAGTTCCCAGCTCACCCTTCCAACCCTGGGTAAGGAGGTGGGAAACTTTCAGGGGCTCCCTGGGTCCTCTAGGAGTCCTTCAGGTCCAGTGTTTGCTGGGATAGGCCTAATGAACCCCTCTCCTGCTAAGCTGAGGTGACTTGGCCTGTTGGTCACAGAGGCAGGAGCAGGCCTTTTTTTCTTTTTTTTTTTTTTTCAAAGCTTAGGTGTCCCTGTTCCTTGGAAACTTGAAAACTCAGCCAGTAACAACAACCAGGAAGCCAAGAGCCCCTCCTCCTGAGATGTGACACTTTTATTTTTTTATTTGCTGCTCTGGGGACAGACTGCAAAGACCCTGCAGGTGAGCAAGGTAAAGAATATGTCATTGCTGTGAAGCCTCCTGTGGTCTTCTGTCACCCCCATCCGGACTGGCAATCAGGAGCCAGGTCCTGAGGTTAGGGAGGTGAAGTGGAGTGGTGGGTGGACCTGAGGCTTGGCCATAAAGGAAGGTGAATTGAGGCCAGCCTGCAGGTCTCCAACCTGCACTTGCTCTGATGATGGGCACTTTACCAGTCACGTGGGACCCTCAGGGAATGCTGGGCAGTCATTCTATATACTTCTCTATCACAGATGAAAGGTCACTAGAAGTCCCCTATGACTCCACCCAGTCTGGTTCTTTGTCCTGTGCATAGGTTTTCGCCACAGGAGCTGACTGCTCTCATAGAATCGTGGGATGGGAACAGTACATGTCTATTCAGCCCTAGGCTAGTGTGTAGACTTTGATGCTCCCAGGAAGCGGACAGAGGGATGTGGTGTTCTCAATGCCTCCTGTGGGTGGGTGGGAAGGGAGTGTGAGCCTGTATAGATCTGCTTTCCAAACTCGGTGCCTCGCCCATCGGAAAATAGGGCTGATGTGTACGAAAACGTCAAAGAGTGGGGCGACTTGGTGTCTACTGCGGTGGTCATATCTGTTGATGGACCATGGCCCAGGTCTACCGACTCCAGGGTGGAAAATGACTTGGACTTTATCCCGGGCTCTGTCACTGTTCTTCTGTTCACCCTCTCCCTTGGCTAGTCAAATGGGTCTTCCTGTCAGACCCCTTTGTCCAACAATTCACGCTGCATGTCTGTGCTTGTGCTATGCCTGGTGGTATGCGGGTTGTGCACATTTGACCAAAGCAGGTTAAAAGCCCCTATATTCAAATTCCAGTTTCTTCTTCCCTAATACCCTAGCTAAATCCTTTAACTTCCCCTAACCTGTCGCCTTCTTTATTAGAGGGAAACAAGACCGTTAAGAGGAGCCCCGGACCTAGGCATTGGCTCAGCAGATAATTTCACCTCTTTCTTTAGAAGAATCAAACCGCGCACACAGTCGTTAAATTCCTCGCCTTGTTAAATTAACAACTTGTGCATATTAGTAGAAAGCTGGCGTGCACGCGAACACTCGAACGGCAGCAGGACTGAAGGCTACACTTTCTGTCCCTAAGTTTCTTTACCTAACTTGGAAGTTGTCCCAAATTAGTACTTTAACCCAATTGCCATGACTACTGTCAGCCTGGGAATCCTCAGAAGAACCCACGGAGGCTGTTATTGGCGCCAGCTCTGCCGGCAATTCTCCGTAACCGCAGTCTTCATCTTCTTGGCCAGGACTACCTTGGGCGAGTGGATGAGGGTGCAGAGAGAGCTAGCCAGACTGGTCCCACGGCAGTGCAGAGCTGCCAACCGCGCGCGTAAGTGTTTCTCGGGGGACCAAGCCTTCTTTCAGCGAAGCTACACATCACACACAAACAGCAGCACATGCATCTAGGCTCACAGCACTCAGAACCCTCTGGAGAACCTGCCGGCTTCAACACGCGATTTCAGTAAAATCTCGCACGGCGACCAGGTACTGACCTGCTTCAGCGAAGAACTGCGATGCTTCGTCAAATCTCCAGCGACCCCAAATGTAGTCCCAAGGTTGCAAACGTCTCTGTTCCTTTAAAGAGGTGGAGCCCGAAATGCGCCACTTCTGCCCAGAAGCAACATGGCGCCAAGAACACCGTCAGAAGCTGCGGGAAACTCTCCCTTCCCTTTAAAAACATGGTGACCCCCACACACCACACCTCCGGCGGTCCCCATTTGCGCCCGGTGACATCACTTCCGGGGCGGATACCTAGGAGGCGGTACAGTGACGGGCAAACAAAACAAGGCGCCAAAGACCCACGGCGTGAGTGGCTATGAGAAGCGGGAATCAGGACGTGAGGCCGGGAGCGGCGGGCCCAGGCGAGTGGGTCGGGTGGGGAAAGCGACGCGCGCTGTCACCTCACGGAATCCACTCACTTGCGCTCGGCCTCCGCACGCGCCTCTCACCCTAGTTTCCGCCGCGCTTCCCACATCCCACTTGCTGCGCTGGTCCCCCGCAGACAGGCGCCCGCCTCCGCTTTCCTGTGGGTCCCGCTGGGCGTTCTCTGGACAGCACGCCCATCAGCAGCTTTCCCGGTTCTCAGCCTTGGGCTTCCCGGCGCCAGTCTCTTTCCTTGGACCCCTCCCTCTTCCTGATCTGAGGGACAGTTTTCTGCCATGGGGGCAAGATCACCGGCTTTAGGGACCTCGGATTTTGGTGGGGTTCCCCGGACGACCGGTTCTTGATGTGAAACTCCAGTTGGTTCTGTCGCTGTCTTGTGCATCCAGCGGCGGGAAGGAGTCTCAGATCCGTGAAGGTGTGGTGAGCCGGAAGTCGGCAAAGATGCTCCCAGTCTGAAGAAACACAATGGAATTGGAAGCTAAATTGTGAAAAACGGGATGTAAGACCTGAAAGTTTTAAAAGACCTTCCACCTTGGAAAGGGGGCGATGATTCCTTTAACCCCATTTGACTGTGTTCTGCTCTCCGGAGCACACAGAGTAGCAGACAGCACTAGAGAAAGGGGAGGAAGGGAAGCAGAATTTAAGTGTGTTCATAGGTTTAGGACAGAGAAAATGATCGGGACACACTGTCAGTGAAGGTTAAGTTCTTCTGTGGCAGCCCAGGGGAAGGAAGCAAGGACTGTGGAGGAGATACTGGGGTGATGGTGGCTTGACTCCCTGTCTTCCCAGTCCTATAGCTTGTTGGAGTTGAGGGGTGTTGTTATTCAGGACCTTCTTGCCTCCTAGGGTCTGTAGGATAGGAGATCAAGAAACGTGATGGCCCTCCTCCCAGTGTTCCTTTTGTCTGCTGAGGACACAGGTTAGAAGGCGGGTTGTAGAGAGTGGGAGCTTCGAGGGATTGCCCTGTGAGTCAGGAGTCTGGGCAGGTAGTGGGTTTACTTGCTGCTTGAAGGAGCTTCAAGGGAGGAACCAAAAGTGATTCCAGGTTTTCATGTGGGGACACTGAGGCACAGCCTAATAGGCAAAGACCCCAGAAGGACCCAGATGGGCTCCACATGGGTACCTGGAGTCTCGCTCGCCACCTTTCCATCCCTGGCCTCACTCACCTGCCCTGCCATAATGATCTGCCTTGGACGGGGATTTATGCTAGGAAATGTGTCCCTGGCCTCCTCAGCACTGCAGTCTGAGGGGAGATAGACATCAGGCCATAGAAGCAGAGGACTGAGCACTGTTAGGACAGAAGGAGCCCCATGGTAGTCCAGAAGAGAGGTACCCATGAATACATAAACAGGGTTGCCGAAGGGACACTTCCAGGAAGAAGGGCACTGGAGGAGCATGTGAGTCTGGAGCCTCAGTTCTGGTCCCTCTACCATGAGCAAGTGATTGCACTGCCTCAGCAGGTGTCCCCATCCTGACTGAGGAGGAGGCAGCGCAGAGGTGGCCTGGACAGCTTCTGTATCTTTCTGGCTCTAGATGCTTTGCCGCTGGCTACTCATGTCAACTTCTGGGTGCTTGCACTGCCCCCCCAGTCACAAACTGGATTCCCCAGTTATCACATGTTCTATAATCCCTCTTGGACCCATCCAGGCCCCAGAATGTGTCACCCCCTTTATGGCTATCTCCTGTCAATACTTTGGCCTTTCCTGTGGCTGGACCACACTCCCAACTCAGGCTGTTTCTGCTGTCCTTCCCAGGTCTACAGAAGCACCTATACTACACTTTACATCAGAAGTGGACAGCTCAGAGGGAAAGGGGTCCTGGCAGTCAGGGGCCAGGGAATACTGAGTGTTACAGCTCAGGAGGAAGAGTAGTCTGGCAGTCAGGGGCCAGGGAATAGCAGAGGTCATAGTAAGTGTAGCAGTTTACAGCCCTACTCTAGGGAAGGTTTCCCCACGGTGACAGCTCTGCTCCTATAGGAGAGGGCTTCCCAGCGAAGTTGCTACAACTTGGCTCTGGTCCTCTGGAATGTAGCAACTCTGCTCTGCTAGGGGAAGTTTTCCCCAGCGAAAACTGTTACAGTCCTGCTCCATTAATAGACCGTGCCTCTGACTTCCCTGGCAAAGGTGTAACAAACAACTCGGCCTGCTAGGTGAAGGCTTCTCCAGAGAAAATGTTACAGTCCCGCTGTGCTATGCTCCAGCAAAAGAAGGTCTTCACCCAAACCTTGTTCAAGAGATTTATTGGGAGGGAAGAATCCATGAGAGTGGCTGTCTCTACCAAGGTGGAAGAAGAGCAGCCAGAACCTGAACAGGCAGAGGGACTTATATAGGGCTTCTTAGGGGTGGAGTTTTTCCAGGGAGAGGAGGGATTGGTTAGTTTAGTTTATCAGGGGCAGAAATGGCTGATTTCAGGGCCAAATTGTGTTTCTTTCACTGGCCTTTTAAAGTTTTTGGCTCTAGTTTTGGGGCCAGGGCATATTTCTTTCACAGACTCTGAGTCTAGGGACACAGTGTTTCTTTGGCACTGGTTTCAGAGACAGGGTGCATCTCTTTGGGTCTGGGTTTGAGGCTAAAGCATTTCTTTCACTGGCGCGGGTCTCAGAGCCAGGGTGTGTTTCTTTGGCTGGCCCTTTTACCCTACACACACTGCCACTTGTCTCTGGGCAAAGTGCAGAACAGAGTGCTCCCTGTGCAGTGATCCTGGAGCACTTAATGTTGTGGAGAATGTGTCCTTGGTTTTAAGTGGAAGTTCTTGTATGGCCTGTTCCACCACTGTTACTCCTCCCTTGTCCTTCCCACCTCCAGGGGCAGCATTCTCTGGATGGCTCCTCTGCCTCATGCTGAGATCACTCTCACCACTGTTTGTGCCCCAGGGACACTACTCTCCAGAAGCCTCCACTAACTCCACTCAGTCCAGTAACTGGTCTGAGTCTAAGGTTGGTTCCTAGATCCCCAGCAGGGTCTGGCTTCAAGACTGCAAAAGTTGCCTTCTAGTATTGCAGCATCCATGAAGTCAAGGGAGATGTCAACTCTGCACAGATGGTCAGAGTCAGCCTTAGCAGGACAGCCAACATGCAGGTAGCAGAGCAGAGTCTCAGCCTTACTCAGCAGCCTCCCCAAGCAGAGCAAAGGTCAGAACCATATCCTTTGGATCCTTTACGCAGGGATAGAAGATATTCTGCAGTGTGTCGGGCAGTTGAGTGGCATCTGCTGGCTGTGCTCTTTCAGTCCAAGGCTTTTTGTTTGTTTGTTTGTTTGTTTGTAATCTAACAACATTTATTGTCCTCGGGATAAAACAGTTGACCTGCCTCACCTTAAGGACATACAGCAAAATAAATGGGGCTCAACTGCAGGCCAGGTCACAAGTGCTCTTCTACACTTCTAGGACTGGCAGGACTATGGCAAATACTCCAAATGAGCAACAACCAGGTCCCTTTTGGTTTGATGGCAGGTATGTGTAAAGGAGTCAAAATAATGATCTGTAAGCTGTGGAAAAAAACTGGGGAAGTAGAAGGGGATAAACCCAAGTACCAGAGGGAGAGGGTAAGCTCTCAGTAGTAAACAGTGAGCACGGATCAGGAGGAAGCCAGTTGCAGGGAGGGAGAGAAACAAGCCTTTACTCCTCCTTCTTGTCCGAGGGACCAGAGGGACCACGTACTAAGGCCTGCAGCTTGGCGTGCTCTTCCAGCAGACGGTCGTACTCCTTGGTAAGACCCTCAGACTGCTTCTGCATGGCCAGAGCCTCGTTTTCAGCTTTCTCTAGCTTTTTCTTGCTGTTGGCCAGCTCATCTTTTAGCTTCTTCAAGTCATTCTTCAGGCTCTTGTTCTCCTCTAACTTCACCTCAGCACTCTCAACATCCAACTTGCCTCCGTCTTCGGCAGCTCCCTTCTTTAGCTGGTCATTCTCCTCCATGTATTTCTTGGCCACCTCACTGGCACTTTCTGCTTGCTTTTTAAAGGCTTCATTGGAGGCCAGCAGTGTGGCCTGCTGGGAGATGAGAGTTACCAGGCGTCTAAGTAAGAAGAACAGCAGCAAGGAAAAGCCAGCAATATAGAGATTCCTCTGAGCACGGAAAAGCTTCATGTGGAAGTGCTCCATGGCACCTGGATTGTTCTGGAGGGTCACCTTTTCTGTCACATCATCATATTTCCGGATCTCACGTGCAGCATCAATGACCAGCAGCACAAGGATGACGATGAGAACCACAAAGAAGGTGTTGCCATAGGTCACTACCAGCTCGACCAGCCAGGATTTGAAAATCTTCTGCCATCTTTTGGGGGAAATAAAGGGAATACAGAGAAGCAACACAGCAAAGACCTCTGCGTAGAGGAAGGTGGCAACTGCAGTCCACTGTAGACTCATCCTGTGACTTAAAGGTTTCCAACAGAGAGATGGGCGTTTGTCTCCTTTGTTGATGATTCCTTTCGGGGGAGGGGGGAGTCCAACGGACTCCTTAGACGGAGTTTCAGACAAGGCGTACACCCTACCACCACTACCAAACTCACCACCACTCCGGCCCGCCCCTTAGCCCACAACCGGAAATGCGCATCGGGCCCCGCCCCAGTCCAAGGCTTTTATTTGGAAACTTTTTTTTTCTCTCAGGTCTTTTTGGTGCCTGCTGCTGACACACTGCTAGGCAGTCTCTGGTCGTGTTGGTCAGAAAATTCTGGTTGAATGGGATCTTTGTTTTGGTGTTGTTTTTCTTTGTTCTTTTCAGTTTTGTGAGACAGGGTCTCTCTGTAAAGCCCAGGCAGGCCTGGACCTAGTTTCCCACTCAGACCTTTATGTGCTGGGATTGTATGCATGTGCTACCACAGTGTCTTCTTGTGCTGCAGGCCTTCTCAGAGCTTTGGGTGCACTGACCTGGGTGTGGTGAGTGTGAGAAGCTGGCAAGGCAGGATGCTTCCCAAGCACTGACTATGTGCACATGTGTAGGCCAAGGTTCTCTGCCTGCAATTGGAAAAGGAGACAGCAGTCAGTAAGTGCACAATTGAAGATCTGAGTCTCAGCCGGGCAGTGGTGACACTCAGGAGGCAGAGGCAGTAGCATCTCTGTGAGTTCGAAGTCAGCCTGGTCTACAGAGCGAGTTCCAGAAGAGCCAGGGCTAAATAGTGAAACTCTGGTTGGGAAAACAAAAACTGCAGACCCTTCATGTTACAAAAAAACAAAACCAAGCAAGCAAAAATAATAATAAAAATAAACAAATGAATAAATAAAGACTTGTGTCTCTATTCAGATCTGGGCTAAAATCATAGCTGCCACACGCTCACTTACCAACAGTGAACTTCTCTGAACTTCAGGTTACCCATCTGGCTGACCTTGGGCTCACAGAGATGCACTTGCTTTAGGCTCCCAAGTGCTGAGATCAAAGGCATGCGCCTCACCTTTAGAGGTTCAGTTTAGTACCCAGCTCCCTGTAGGATGTTTTGAAAATACATTGGTGTGGGGAAGGCCCTTAGAGTTCTTGCCCCAGACTCCAAACCCAAAACTGGCCTATTTAGAGACCGTCATGTAATCTGAAAAACAAACCCATGACGTTGATCTCATGACCTGAATCTTGTCAATGGCCTTTGTCCCCTGTTGACAAAGACTCAGCGTGAGCAGCATGTTGCAACCAGCACCTCAGGAAAGAAGGTGAGGTTGTGAACTTGAACATGCACACTGCAGTCCTAGGGCTAGATCCTTTGCATTCCCTGAGCCTTCTCTGCCTCTACCTCCTCCTCAGTTCTCCTCAACAGCAGGCAGGAGACTCCAGCTTCAAGCTTTGAACAAACTGTTATCATGGGGTTCTTTCTTTCTTCCTTCTTTTTTTTTTCTTTTTTTGAGACAGGGTTTCTCTGTATAGCCCCAGCTGTCATAGAACTCACTCTGTAGGCTGTCCTCTAACTCACTGCCACCTGGTGACTTTTTTTCTTTAATACACAAGGTGATGCATGTTTGCTACTGGTTACATACTATTTGGATTCCGGATATCAAAAGTAAAGACTTCCCTGGCCTACTCGTCACACATAGAATAGGGAATCAATCCTCTGTTGTGGTATGCTATCCTCCAGGCACGACCTGGGGTGACCATCTTGAAATCAAAGCAGCTGTGGGTATCCAGAGGTGTCCTCCACAAGACTGACTCTACATTCCCTGGTAGGAGTGAGGGGCGACCAGACCTTCATCTGATAGTCCAGTCACTCACTCCCCTCCATCCACACCATACAGCCCTGATGTGGCTGTAGGCTACTTTTCTCTCCCACCCACCAGTTCCCAAATAACTGACATGCAGATTTAATATTAATTATGAAGGCTCACCTGTAGTATGGAGCTGCGGGTTGCATTCTGCCACCCAGCTCCCGTCACCGGCTAGCTTATGCCCCAAAATAACAACACACAAATTGTATTCTTTTTTTTTAATATTTATATTTATTTATTTATTATGTATACAATATTCTGTCTGTGTGTATGGCCAGAAGAGGGCACCAGACCTCATTACAGATGGTTGTGAGCCACCATGTGGTTGCTGGGAATTGAACTCAGGACCTTTGGAAGAGCAGGCAATGCTCTTAACCACTGAGCCATCTCTCCAGCCCACAAATTGTATTCTTTTAAACACTGCTTGGCCCATTATATCTAGCCTCTTTTCGGCTAACTCTTGCACCTGGACTAGCCCATTTCTAATAATGTGTGTAGCACCCCAAGGTGCGCTTACTGGGAAAGATTCAGCATGTCTGACCTGGCAGCTTGCTTCATTGCATCTGCCCAGGAGAGGGGAGCATGGCCTCTGAGTTCACTTCCTCTTCCTCCCAGCATTCTGTTCTGTTTACAACTCCCACCTATGTTTTAACCTATGAGGCCAAGCAGTTTCTTTATTACTTAACCAATGAAATCAACAGATTTGATATATGACACTCCCACATCACTCACCTGATTGCTCAGGCTTATCACTAACTAGCTTTTACAACATAAATCAACCCATTTATATTAATCTGCATTCTGCCACATGGCATTACCTCCCTTTCATCTCGTACCTCCTGTTTCTGTGTGTCTTGCTGGTGACTCCTCTGACTCCACCCTTCTTACCAGTGTCCTTAGTCTGGTTCTCCCACCTAACCTTATCCTGTCCAGCTATTGGCCAGTCAGCTTCTTTAGTAAACCAATCAAAGCAACATATATTCACACAGTGTAAAGGAAAATTCCACATGTGTCAACCTGTGATCTCAAGAGGTGCTACATTTGACAGGATGTGTAAGGGGACACTCCACAGCTTTCAGGCCAGCAGCCATGCTGCGATGCAAGAGCTCGCTCATGAGCCTGTAAGCAGTCTCAGTAAACTCACCAGTTCGCCATGCTGGACTCAGTGGAACTTTCTTTGGTCTGTTGTTGCCCTTTTCTATCTGGCCTGAGTAGAAACTTTCCCTAAGTGGGGCTGGAAAAAGTATCAGGCTTTCTTGGACCACCAGCGCCAAATCATAACATGGAGACTTATTAGTTATGCTCAGCTTTATCTTATATCTTATGCTTGTCTGCTTGTCCCACTAGCTCCCCCCCCCCTTTTTTTTTTTTTTGGTTTTTTGAGGCAGGCTTGGAGCCTGTCCTGGAACTAGTTCTTGTAGCTGGCCTCGAACTCACAGAGATCTGCCTGCCTCTGCCTCCTGAGTGCTGGGATTAAAAAAGGCATGCACCACCGCTTAGCCTCCACTTGCTCTTATAACTTATATTAACCTGTTTCTCTTTATCTACGTTTTATGTATTTATTTATTATGTATACAATATTCTGTCTGTGTGTATGCCTGCAGGCCAGAAGAGGGCACCAGACCCCATTACAGATGGTTGTGAGCCACCATGTGGTTGCTGGGAATTGAACTCAGGACCTTTGGAAGAGCAGGCAGTGCTCTTAACCTCTGAGCCATCTCTCCAGCCCCTTTATCTATGTTTTGCCTTGGGGCTTTTTACCTTTTCTTTCATTCGGTATGTCCTCCTTTCCTGCTTCCTTCATGACTGCCTGGCAGGCAGCTGGCTGGACCCCAGCATATCTCTCTTTCTCCCTCCTCTCTCTTCTCCCTCAAGCCTAGATTCCTCCGCCTACTTACTCTCTGTCTGCCAGTTCCACCTAACCCTCTATTGCCCAGCTATTGGCCATTCAGCTTTTTATTAAACCAGTCAGGTGCCTTAGGCAGGCAAGCTGAAACACATCTTTACAAAGTTAAACAAATGCAACACATCTTTACATAGTTAAAGTAGGATTCCACAACAGGAAAGAGTGCTCTCCTGATACATGAGTTCATTTCCCAGCTCCCGTGTCATGTGGCCTGTAACTTTAGCTCCAGGGCATCTGACATCCTCTTTTGGTCTCTACAGGCAACTATACATATCACTCATGCATGCTAACACACACATACATTGACAAGTATAAATCTTAAAGTCTCTCAACCTGAGCATGAACTCGGAAGTCAGAGATAGGTGTACTCTTGAGTTTTAGGCCAGCCTGGTCTACAGAGCTAGTTCCAGCACAGCCAGGGGTACACAGAGAAACCTTGTTTCAGAAAACAAAACAAAAAAGTCTCCCCAGAAGAGTCCCACATACTATCCACATCTATTCCCTGTGTGCCTGCCTCACAAGTTAGGTGACCTGGGAGCTGCCAACAGCAGAACAGTAGCATCTGGAGCCCTTTCCCAGGCGAGGGGCAGACAGAAGGCACATGCCGGCTGCCCCCCACCTTACCCCCAGAGTGGGCCTCACCCACCCAGCTGTGTGGAGGAAGAGGGAAAGGACTGGTTGTGGCGCTGTCCTGCTCTTGTTTATGAGAAAGGGGTCAGCAGTGGCAGCCCCGCCTGTGGGAATTTCCTGTTGATCTCTAGGAGCTGTTCTTGGGAAGAGGAAGCCTGTGTCTGCCCTGCTGGTGCCTGTGAAGAGCAAGCAGCTGAAGCCTGTGTGTGACAGGACACAGTTTACAGTGCCACCAAGTGCTGTCCTGCGGTGCGGCCTGGTGGTGGCTACTGGGACAGAAACCAGTTGGGTGGCCTGTGGGTCACTGCATGTACCCAAGTGTGATCATCCCTGGACCTTCAGTAACATGTTGCCTGACTCTGTACTCTTGGCAGTGCCTGAAGGAAGGTTTGGGCCCTATTTTTGTTTTCTTTCATTTTGATTTTTCCAGACTGGGTTTCTTTGTGTAGTGTTAGCTGTCCTGGAACTTGCTCTGTAGACTAGATTGGCCTCAAACTCACAAAGCTCGACCTGCCTCTGAGTGCTGGGATTAAAGGTGTGTGCCACCACTGTTCAGCTCTCTCTCTCTCTTTTTGTGCATTGGTGTTTTGCCTGCGTGTATATCTGTGTGAGGCTGTCAGATCCCCTGAAACTGGAGCTATAGACAGTTGTGAGCTGCCATGTACATGCTGGGAATTGAACCCTGGTCCTCTGGAAGAGCTGCTCTTAACTTGGTCCTTATTGTTTTGGAATATTTGTGCTTTTAATTTTGAAGCTGAACAGGCAAGAAGGGGGACTATCCTTGTGTCTGTCCCCGCCCCCATCCTCC